CAATTGTTAATGATCTGATGAATTTATGATTAATTACGATGGATATGGGTTTGTGCTGTGTGTGATGTGTCCCACCTCTTGCCCCACCCCACCCAACTTCATTTAAAGGAGAATGAAACCCTGATTGTTATGCCTCCGTTACGAAGTAGCCGGAGGCATTATGTTTTCGGGTTGTCCGTCCGTCTGTATGTACGTACGTACGTCCCGTTTTCGTGATCGCGTTATCTGAAGAACCGATTGATGGATTTGTGCCAAACTTTGGTCATGTATGTATCTTGCAGAGCCGATGAACTGATTAGATTTTGGGATTACGAGGTCAAAGGTCACAGGGCTCATTATGTATGCAAAAACAGCTCGTGATCGCGTTATCTGAAGAACCGATTGATGGATTGCTGCCAAACTTAGGTCATGTATGTTACTTGCAGAGTCGATGAATTGATTAAATTTTGGGGTCACGAGGTCAAAGGTCAAAGGCCACAGCGCACATTATGTATGCAAAAACAGCTTGTGATCGCGTTATCTCAAGAACCAACCGATGGATTCCTGACAAAATTAGGTCATGTATGTTACTTGCAGAGCCAATGAACTGAGTAAATTCTTGGTTCATAAGGTCAAAGGTCATGGGCTCATTATGTATGCAAAAATAGCTTGTAATCACGATATTCTGAGAACCTGTTAATGGATTACAATTGAATTTGAATTCGAAAAATTTCTTCTGTCTTGGTTTGTAAAATTGCTTTATGACGGAGGCATCATTTTCGACTGCACGCAGTCGAATTCCATCTAGTTAAAATATAGATTCGGCCTGGATAGATATCACATAGTCCCATATACATCTTTCTGTGTACAGTGCTTTTAATTTACCAAAACTGGGCAAAATTTTGTATCATTTTGATGATTCCAGAACCTTGCAGTACACACCAATACTTATAGATGATCAAACTTTTCTGATCGATTCCACAACGTTTCTTTTCACAATGCAATTGAATTGCATGACCAGAACTGGTCTATACCTTTAATAATATAATTTTAATTATTATACAAATACGATACAGTGGATTCTAACTAGACATACAATGTTTGTTACAGGTGGATTTGGTGGATGAGGAGGAGGACGCTGTTTCGGTGGACGAGGCGGCGGTGGACGCGGAAGGGGAGAATTCGGCGGAGGAAGGGGACGAGGAGGTATGTCTTGTTTATTTTCACCATCTTTGGAACGGTAGTTACTAAGGACTTTGATGGATGAAAATTATCATCACAATATGATTGATTTCAATCCAAACAGATAAGATCATTCTCGATTTTCATGCCTCCACTACAAAGTAGCCAGAGGCATTACTCTCAAACTGAAATAGCTTGTAATCAAAATATTCTGAGAACCTGATAATGGATTACAATCAAACTTGATAATGGATTACAATCAAACTTGAATATTAAAAATTGCTTCCGATTTGGTTTGTAAAATCGCTCTATAGCGGAGGCATCATTTTCGACTGCACGCAGTCTAAGTTCCATCTAGTTAGTCTTATTGTGTTAATCAAAAGTTAAATAATTATTATTCTGTGTGTGTCGCGTAGTCCCACATACATCTTTCTGTGTACAGTGCTTGTAACTTTACCAAGACTGGGTCAAATCTCATCATTTTGATGATCCAGATCACACCAATACTTATATGCTAGCTGAGCAACCTTTTCTGATCGATTCCACAACGTTTTTTTCACAATGCAATCGCATGACCAAAACTGGTCTTTGCCTTCAAAGGTACTATGTCCCATTTGCAGGCCAACAAAATGAAAAGGTTAAATTTCAACAGCATTTGAAAGATAATACTAATTTAGAACTTCCCTAAAAAAAGGGGGGCTTGAAAATGTCTTTAAGTTGGAAAATAACGACTATTAGTTGTCAAATCGACTTAAGAGCTATAGAGCCAGTAAGTAATGGTCTGATTTTCAGACCATTGTACCGAATGGTCGTACATTTTATGCTGCGCAAAGATTCAATCAGTTTAATTTTGGCCATTACAAGCAGAAGTGGGATATTGATGTTGACAAATGCTCATATACCCTTTACAGCTCATTTTATGTACATGTATGTTATTTCCAAAGAAGAAAAAAGCTAGTGAGTCACTCAATAGTGTCTGACAGTGAAGCTAATGTAGCAAGTAAACGGGTTTCTTTGCATAATTTGAATATTAGGACACTGCTAACGTTTAAACTTCACAGATAGGACATACATGACATATTCATAATTCCTATAAAGTTCTACAGAATTTGATTGTGGCTGCAAAAGGGACATAGTATCTTTAAGCATTGAATGAGGGCTCACTATTTGTATTTATTTTTGTAATATAATCATATTGGTATTTTATGAAATGCAATTGTTTTTCTTCTTTTCTTTTTTTCTTTCAGGTTATTGACTGTTTTCAAGATTGCTGAGAGTTGCAGAGAGTAAGTTGATCTGCTTAAGAAGGCTAAAGTCAAGTAGTTTTTAAAATAAAGCTACAATGGAATGAAACAGATCTCCATAATTGGGAACATAATTGAACGCGGAATAGGAAAGCTATGGCTTAATGAAATTTTCTATGACACTTCCGTAGGTATGTAACATAATTTTGTGGACAATTCTCAATACTCTTCCATTGGGTGTTGCCAAAATTTGAAGAGAATCCTTGAATTATGTAAGGAGTTGATAAAGAAGAACAAGTTTGTTTGTTTTTAAACACCTAGTGCAAATGATAGATTGTTGGAGAAGTCGAGCAGGCTGTAGAGCCCCAGCGATGCCTGGGCGGTGACCTGTCGATTTCCCGTCGGTGGCCGGTCGATTTTAGGTAAAAACTGGGCGAATTCGCGGAGCTTTTTCGCGCGGTGTCCCGGCAGTGACCGACCGATGACCCTCCGATTGCCGGGCGGTCTCCCACCAGCCACCGGCTGATTTTAAAGAAATTGCCTGGCGGCCGGCCAGTGATCGGCGGGGCTCCAAAATACGCTCGGTGCCTGGCCGTTCGCCGCCCGGGCACCGAAATAATCGAGCGTTCGCCGCCGAGCAATTTAGGTCAAAAATCGAAGGCGCTAGGGTCAAAGGCTGCCGACCTATTTTGGACTCGCCGCCAGGTGACCGACTGATCTCCCAGCGGCGACCGGGCGGCGACTGCTCGACAGCCTTTGACCTAGGGGCTTCGATTTTTGACCTAAATCGCTCGACGGTGAACGCTCGATTAGGCCGGCGTCCGGGCGGCGACCGGTCGCCGAGCGATTTTAGGTAAAAACTGGGCGAAATCGCGGAGCTTTTTCGCGCGATGTCCCGGCAGTGACCGACCGGTGACCCTCCGATTGCCGGGCGGTCTCCCACCAGCCACCGGCTGATTTTAAAGAAATTGCCCGGCGGCCGGCCAGTGATCGGCGGAGCTCCAAAATACGCTGGGTGCCTGGCCGTTCGCCGCCCGGGCACCGAACTAATCGAGCGTTCGCCGCCGAGCAATTTAGGTCAAAAATCGAAGGCGCTAGGTCAAAGGCTGCCGACCTATTTTGGACTCGCCGCCCAGTGACCGACTCATCTTCCAGCGGCGACCGGGCGGCGACTGCTCGACAGCCTTTGACCTAGGGGCTTCGATTTTTGACCTTAATTGCTCGACGGTGCACGCTCGATTAGGCCGGCGTCCGGGCGGCGACCGGTCGCCGAGCGATTTTAGGTAAAAACTGGGCGAAATCGCGGAGCTTTTTCGCGCGGTGTCCTGGCAGTGACCGACCGGTGACCCTCCGATTGCCGGGCGGTCTCCCACCAGCCCCCGGCTGATTTTAAAGAAATTGCCCGGCGGCCGGCCAGTGATCGGCGGAGCTCCAAAATACGCTCGGTGCCTGGCCGTTCGCCGCCCGGGCACCGAACTAATCGAGCGTTCGCCGCCGAGCAATTTAGGTCAAAAATCGAAGGCGCTAGGTCAAAGGCTGCCGACCTATTTTGGACTCGCCGCCCAGTGACCGACTAATCTTCCAGCGGCGACCGGGCGGCGACTGCTCGACAGCCTTTGACCTAGGGGCTTCGATTGTTGACCTAAATCGCTCGACGGTGCACGCTCGATTAGGCCGGCGTCCGGGCGGCGACCACCCGGTCGCCGAGCGTAGTCTGGGCGGCGAGTGAAAGTGAGCAGGCGCCGCCCGAATTTTAACTCCGCGCTAAAACTTCAGCAGCGACCGAGCGATGCCTTAAAAACGAGCGGTGACCGGGCAAAATTGGCTAAAAACTCGCCGCTCGGCCGCCGAGCAGGCTAATTTTGGGTAATGTGACTACCGTATTTGCCGGCGTAAAGGCCGCAGTATTATTGGAAGAGAAAATATCAAAAAGTCGGGGTGCGGCCTATGCGGCGAAAGAGTAATTTTTTTTTTTTTTTTTTTTTTTTTAGTTTCGATTTATGGCGCTATGCCTGGCAATGTCTCCCAGCTCAGTAATCAGTGTGTTGACTCACCACTCGGAAACTACAACAACAACACTAAAATTTGTCTGTCATTTTGGTTTGAAAGTAATCTTTCTAATAGATCTCAATATGTAGTTTATAATAATAATTCCTCAATTTTTTTGTCTATAACAAATGGTGTACCACAAGGTTCTATCCTACGAGCTCCTTGATGATTTCTCAAGAATTGCCCAGACGTGTCTATTGAATTTAATTAATTTTTTTTTCTATTCCTTTCTGTCTTTTGCAGGACCGAGGGTGGTACACTCCAAAGAACTCTCCAAAAAACTCTCCAAAGAACTCTCCAAAGAACTCTCCAAAGAACTCTCCAAAGAACTCTCCAAAGAACTCTCCAAAGAACTGTCCAAAGAACTCTCCAAAGAACTCTCCAAAGAACTCTCCAAAGAACTTGCACTTAAACTTGCACTTGAACTTACACTTGCACTTGAACTTACACTTGCACTTGAACTTACACTTGAACTAGCACTTGCACTTGAACTAGCACTTGAACTTGCACTTGAACTATCTTGAACTATTTTGAACTATCTTGAACTATTTTGAACTATCTTGAACTCTCCAAAGAACTTGCACTTGAACTTGCTCTTGAACTTACACTTGAACTAGCACTTGAACTTGAACTATCTTGAACCTTGAATCTGAAACATACTGAATGAAACTTGAATCTGGAAATCTTGAATCGAATCAAAACTGGAACAGAATATTTCTAAAGATTGTATTGCCATTTTTAGAAGACATAATTATTGTCAATTATAAAGAAATTATTGGCAGTTTCTAGAAGGAATTAAAAGTAAACTGAAATAAAAAGAAGAACAGTAGAGGGAAAGGAATCTAACTCTAATTCCTGGAACTTGATAAGACCATACTTACAGTTGAAAGCAGTAATATTGTAAATCTTGGGAAAGAAAAAAAGAGGTATACATTTTAAAGAGTAAAGTAGATTGGAAAAGTAGTCGTTCAAGATAAATATTGGAAGTTCGAAGGACTGTATTGCCATTTTAGAAGACATAATTATTGTCAATTACAAAGAAATTATTAGCAGTTTCTAGAAGGAATTAAAAGTAAACTGAAATAATAAAAGAAGAATAATAGAGGAACAGGAATTTAATTCTAATTCCTGGAACTTGATAAGACCATAATTACAGTTGAAAGCAGTAATATTGTAAATCTTGGGAAAGAAAAAAAGAGGTATACATTTTAAAGAGTAAAGTAGATTGGAAAGTAGTCGTTGAAGATAATATTGGAAGTTTTAAGGACTGTATTACGATTTTAGAAGACAAAATTGCTGTCAATTAGAAACAAAATCTTGGCAGTTTCTAGAAGGAATTAAAAGCAAAGTGAAATAAAAAGAAGAACAATAGAGAAAAAGCAATCTAATTCTAATTCCTAGAACTTGATAAGACCTCTATTAGAATTCAAAACAGTAGTATTAGTAATCTTGGGAAAGTAAAAAGAGCGTATACACAGCAAAGAATAAAGAAGATTGAACAAAATAGTGTGAAGAAGGCAATATTGCAAGTTTGAAAGACTGTATTGCCATTTTAGAAGACATAATTACTGTAAATTAGAAAGAAATTATTGGCAGTTTCTAAAAGGAATTAAAAGCAAACTGAAATAAAAAGAAGAACAACAGCGAGAAAGCAATTTAATTCTAATTCCTAGAACTTGATAAGACCATAATCACAAAAAATTTGTGTCAATATATAGAGTCCTAGAAAAGTGAGCGTGGTTGATTGTAAAGAGAAAAGGAAAGAAATCCTTCGATATATAGTGTTCAGAATTTTAAAAATAAAAGTAAGCTTGATTGCAGAGAGAGTAAGAAAGAAGATTGGGTCAGGATATATATATAGTTTTAAAAATATAAGTGAGGTTGATTGATTTGAGAGAGAATAAGAAAGATATTTTGGTCAGGATATAAAGTGAACCTGTTTGCAGAGAGAGAGTAACAAAGAAATTAGCAATTTGGGAACTTATATAGGCCTACAATACATTTAGGCTATTAATGACCTACTCATAATTTTAATAAAAAACGCCATCTTGAGACAAAAACATTATAGCTCCTTAACACAGTACAAGCTAGTGTATATAAAGCTAGGCTATTGAAATACCATAGAGTTTAATATCAGTAAGGATTAGTTTTTCATAATTCACAATAGGAATATTTAAATAAAAGACTATTGGAGTAAGGAATATATACAGAACATTATATATCAAAGTTACAGAACCGTTAATTGTAGACTTGTAATTATTAACCAGAACTGTTGCAAGTATATAAGCAAAATTTACCATGATGGATACAATTGAATTTAAGAAAACACTTGATGAAATCATGAATATACTGACTAGTTGTGCATTGGTGACCAACCCAAAGCTTAATGAATGCTGTATCTGTAACAATGAAATCAAAGAAAATGAAAGTGATGCAAGATGTGACTGTTGTAGTAAGCATTTTCATGTGACATGTATGGGATTCCCTTGTGAAGACAGACTGAGTGACCTGACATTGATCTGGATTTGTTCATTTTGTGGAAATAACAACATGGCTCATCGCATGTTTGATCAAGTATGCATCCCTTCTCATTTCAATAGATACGAACTTCTTGGTGATCATGATGAACACTGTTACTTGGATTTGAACCAATCAAGGACCCTATCAAGTACGACCAACAAAAGAAAATGTGGCAGATCAAAGAAGAGGTATGGTAAAAAGGGAAAGAAAACCAATCGATTGAGAGGAACACAACATCATATAACTGACAGGAAAACAAATGAGTCTGATAGACATAATCCTTTGGCTATGGAAAATTCATCCCAAATAGAACACGAAGAGATGCAAAATGAAAAATTTGAGGATGACTGGGTAATTGTGAAATCAAGGAAGACGAAATGGGTGGAGAAACTAAAATCAAGAAAATTGTATCCCAAATCAATAGATGATCATCAAACAGACAGGAAAATCAGAAGAAAATCGGTGAATGGCAAAGTCTTAGAACCTGGTGTAACTTACATCGGCAAAGCAATGAAGACATTCTATGAAAGCCATAGCAGAAAAAAAAAGGAAGACCGAAAGAAAGTTGATTGTAAAGAAAAGAAGGTGAAATCCGAGAAAAAAGATATCAGTGTTCAATCTTACACAGAAACTCTTTTAGGTTTATATGCCTACAGTGTGCAGTCCCCACATGCAATGAAGTTGTATAATGACATGTGTGTGCAAAGTGAAACAGCACAAACACGATCCTGGGCAGACATAGCAAGCAATTTGCCAACTCAATCTAGAACAGATACATGTGTTGATATCGATGTATGTACTTGTAATCTTTTTGAACAGATCAAGGATTTGCGAAAGTACAGAGTTCATGCTGGTGGCAAGAAAAAAGAAGCAAAGAACAAGAAAGGTCGAGCAAGGAACAAGAAAGGTCAGTCTTCCAAAGGGAAAAAAGGTACTGATGGAAATCACTCTTCTGATAAATCGGAGATTAGATTTGACAAAGATGAAGGAATAGAATTAGCAGTAAAGAATGAGAAGCAGGATACAAAGATATCGATGAATGCAGGTGACCAAGGACTTGATACAAATACATGTAAAAATGATACACACTCAGACCAGCATATTTGCAATATGAAAGACAACAAAGGTTCAGATGGAGTTGTGCAGGACGATTCAAAGAATAATCTGTTGAAATCAAATTTTGATGAAAATGGGGAAATTGAAACGGACGATGATAGTGGCAGTGATGTTCATATACCAGTGAAACGTTCGTGTGCAAGAAATTGTATAGAATCTGATAGTGATACAGACACAAGTCCTGGATGTGATTTATGCGATAGAAGTGTTTTACCACAACGCAATATGCCTTTGAATGTTTGTGATAGACCAAAAGATATGCCCATAAATGAACCAGTAGACAATGTCTGTGAATCGGTATTGGAAAATGATGATATGATGAAAAATGATTTTTCAGATGTTTCAGATGGTGTACAAGAAGATGCAGTGTATGACAATGACCTGAAGAATAGAAGCTTTGATACAGTAAAAGATGGTACAGACAATGATACTGATATGTCATTTAATGATCATGCTCATTCAAGGAATCCTTTAGAATCTTCTTCAGATTCAAATATCAAAGATGAAGACATTGAAAAGGCAATAGATGCTAATATGTACACATGTACTGATGAAACAGAAACAGAAGTTGAATTTGTAGCAGATCTTGGATTACGTGATAGACCAGATAAAGATTTCAAATTTGTACCCCTCCAGAATAATGACAAACGGAACATTTGTTCAAAACTGAATATCAGATATATAGGCAAAGGCTGTGATTCAAGGTTAGATAGAAATAGCTCTATTGGAGTTCCTTTACAGAGTAAACAAATTACTGGTGATGGCAATTGTTTCTTTCGTGCAATTTCCTATGTAATTTCTGGAACTGAGCGTAATCATGCAATTTTAAGAAATGCCACTGTGAAACATTTATTGCAAACCAAGGACATGTTTAGTAATACATTGAGGCAAGAATATAGAACAGTCAGAGAATATGTTTTGAAATGTAGAATAAAGGAAGACGGAACGTGGGCTACAGACACTGAAATTAGCGCTTTAGCAAATTTAATCGATACTGATATTTATTCATACAATGACCAAGTACCATGTTGGCAATTGTACTCTGCAAAGAAACCTGGAAGAATCAATATTGTTACATCTGATAAGGGAATTTATATACTGTACACAGGAAATGTTCATTTTAATGTTGTTGAATCTGTAGATTTTGTCAATTTCAATTCATTAGAACAGACAAGAACAACTAAAGAAGATAGAACGTCAAAGAGAACTTTGCCATGTCCATCAATTCAGGCTGATGTTAAAGTAAAGCATGTGTTGAAGAAGTGTAGATCCAAGTCGCAGATAGAGGAAGAAATTTATGAAGTAGTGGATAAGTCTCCTGAAACATTTCAAAACCATGTTGATCCAAAGGGAAAAAAACGTAGGCTCACGTTGGAGACTGGTATGATAAATCACGATGAGAGGAAAGGTACTGCAAATCTTTTGGACATGACATATGAACAGTGTGCAAGTAATCAGTCTGAATCAGTCGTTCACAACGAACGTAACACCAAGGACGAAACCCTTGAAAGTGATCACAAAGACAAATGCACGAGAGTCGATACACAAATAACGCTTGTTGCCCAAGGGACATTCAATCAAGGTGATACAAGATTTGGTGACTTAAGTGGAAAGCAGTGTGTTACCAATTCACTTTCTGCACTGTTGTATAGCAAGGTAAAAAATGCCAATGATTGGAAAAGTACAGATCTAGACAGGATTTTGAATAACGGTAATGAATTATATTGTTACATACGGCGATCCACTTCACTCGACAACCAATACTTATTGATATCTGATCTATTTGAATATTTGGATGCGTACAATGAATTGTTTAACATAGTATGCCGTGAACCAGTCACTGGATTGTTAGATGGAGATGAATTGATATTGGCCCAGTCTCTTTCGATGACATTGAAGCAAGCACTCGAAAAAGAACTCTGTACTGATTCTGATGCATGTTTTGTGACATTTGCTAGAAGTACTTTCATTGTATTATCTGGTCAAGATGGTTTCTTTATATTTGATTCACATTCCAGAAGCAGTCGAGGTTTCCTGAGTTGTAACGGACACAGTGTTGTACTTCGTACTCAAAGCTGGCAAGGTGTGTACAAGCATTGCATGAGGTTAGCAAAATCAATGGGATGCCCCCTGCACACCGAATATGAAGTAACTAGTGTATGTGCTAAAGCAACTTCCGGTAAGAATGAAACCTTGAAAGGCTATCCACAGTTACAGGATTTTGTTTGTAATCCAATTCCTTCGTCAAATACGCACAGTGAAAGTCAGTCTGGAAGCTCTGGATGTTCCATACATTGTGAAAGCTTTGATGAAGTTCAAATATTGGATGAGAGTGTTTCCCCACAAAAGATGATTGATAACCCAAATGTATTTCTCTTCCCTGAAGGAGCAAATGAAACAATCATTCATGATGTACATTATAACGGTCAGGAATTGAAACTGAAGAGTGTGACAATTACCTTAACGAAACTAAAAGAACCGCAGCTAAATAATAGTTGTCTTCTGAAAGGAAATGATTTTATAAAAGCAGAATATGAAAATGAACAAAAAGGAGATTCAAAAAATTGTACTAAATGCGGGAATGACTCTGATAGATTGAATTTAGTGAACAAAGTTCAGAATTTCAACTCTATCTTAAGCAGAAAACGAAAATGGAGTAACCTCGAAAGCGATGCAAAAGTTGATGTCGACCTTGGCAAGGAATTTCGAAAAACCAAATCGGTAAAAATGAATGAGAACGACAGCTTAAGAATTGATACAAGCGAATGTGCTGATAGTCATGATGAATTATTAATAATTGGAGAAGTTCATGTTAAAAATGTAGACCATGGACAGAAAAAACGTAGAAACAGACAAAGTTCTAATCAAATTAGGAAGCGCAGTAGACAGCGAATGAGAGAAAAACGAGCCTTGACCAAAGATGAAATCATTAAGAAAAAGGAAAAGTGTATTCACAATGCGCAAATGAATAAAATGAAAAAAGCGATTAAAAAGAAAGATAAATATCAAAATGATTTATCCTACAAAATAGAAAAAATAAATGAAGTAAAACAAAGGCAAAAAGAAATGTATAAAGAGGACTCAAATTTCAGGAACATACAGCTAAATATTATGAAAACCAAATATCATTCTGATTTACGTTATAATAAGAAAATTTTGTATGGAAATAAACAAAAATATTTGAGAAATGAAAGATTCAAAGAAAATGTTAAAACAGCTATGAGGATTAAAATGAAAAATAAATATTGGAAAGATGAACAATTCAAACGAATGCACACAAATAAAATAAGAAGTAAATATTTGAACAAACATTTCAAGGAAAAACACCAAGATACCATGAAAAAACGAATGAAGGAATTATATCGCAAAAATGAACATTTTAAGGAAAAACAAAAAGATATCATGAAAAAACGAATGAAGGAATTATATCGCAACGATGAACAATTTAAACGAACGCACAGAAGCAAAATAAGAAGTAAATACCAGCACGATGAACAATTTAAACGAATGCACAAAAGTAAAATAAGAAGTAAATATTCGAACAATGAACATTTCAATGAAAAACAACGAGATACCATGAAAAAACGAATGAAGGAATTATATCGCAATGATGAACAATTTAAACGAATGCACAAGAGTAGAATTAGAAGTAAATATTCGAACGATCAACAATTCAAACATACAAAAATGGCAAATATGAAAATATTGTCCAAAATTAGATATAAAGGCAAAGAATTTAAGGAGAAGAAATTGATAAGCTTAAAAATAAAATATAAAAGAATTGAAAAATATAGGCAAAATGTAATAAAACAAAATCGAAAAAGGTCTGTACTTCGAACAGTAAAATTGTCCGAGTTTGATATTGTACTTGAAGAGTTTAGAAAAATAATTTCTCATGGCCCAGAATATGTGTGCTGTGTATGCTTAAAACTTCTCTTTGACAACCAAGTATTGAAATGTAAAAAGAGTAATTATAATATTCAGACGTGCATAAGTGAAGAATATTTGCATGTTTGCAATTCAGAATGCCGGTCAAAATGTTTAATAGGCCAGTCAGCCAGATCGACACTTTGGATATGCTTTACCTGTCATAGAAAATTGCAAGCTGGAAAAGTACCTGCAGAAGCAAATATGAACAATTTACAACTACATGAAGTTCCAGAAGAACTTGCCAATCTAAACAATTTAGAACAGCATTTGATTGCATTGAATATCCCTTTCATGAAGTTAATGGCCTTGCCTAAAGGTGGTCAAAATGGAGTCCATGGCCCAGTCGTGTGTGTGCCTTCAAACACTTATGAAACAGTAGATATGTTGCCAAGACCACAGACTGAAGATCAATTGATCCGTGTTAAACTCAAACGAAAATTGTCGTACAAAAGCTATTATGAGTACAAATTTGTAGATAAATCTAACTTGCTTAATGCTCTGCAGTATTTAAAAGCAAATAATAAGTGGTATTTTGATGTTACAGTAAATGATAAATGGGAAAACTCACTTGAACGAAATGAAAAAGATAATGAAACGGAAGAAGCAGTGGAAATTGGTGGTAAAGCTCGTTTAGCAAAATATTGGAAGGAAATGGAAGAACAAATTGATTACATTTTGTCCAAAGACAAAAATGCTAATGAAAACATGCAAGACAACAGTAAACTACAACAAAAAATAGATGACAACACTGAAGACGATATGGAAGAACGCTTACGCGGTATTCAGTTAGACTCGTGTCTCCAGCCAGTAGATATTGGACAGGAAATATTAGATCAGTATTTTGAAGACATAATATGTTGTGCTCCTTGTGAAGGAAGAAGCCCTGTATCAATTCTACAAGATGAAAGCAATGAGGCCAAATGTTTCCCAGTATTATTTCCTAAAGGTCAACCAACATTCCATGATAGAAGAGATGAAAAAATAACATTAGGACGTTATCTGCATAACCGACTGATGCACGTGGACAATAGATTTGCTCAGAATACAGATTACATCTTTTATGCACAATATATTTATGAAATTCAACAGGTTATATCACAAGTTTCTATCGCTTTAAGGCAAAGTCCAAACAAAAAAGATGATTCGTCTTCAATAACTGCCTCAGATTTGAAAGATGCAGAGAAAGTTAAACAAATACTAAAATCAGACAAGGGCTATAAATTTTTAAAGCAAATTCGTGGAACACCTCCATTCTGGCAAAAGACACAAAAAGATGTTCTCGCAATGGTACGACAGCTTGGAAAGCCGACATGGTTTGCTTCTTTCTCATCTGCCGATATGAGATGGCCAGAATTAATGAATACATTGCTTAGACAAAAAGGAGACACCAGGGAATCGAGTGAATTAGACTATACAGAAAAATGTAATCTTTTAAGATCAAATCCAGTAACAGTTGCCAGAATGTTTGACAAAAGATTTCACACTTTTATGAAGAGAGTTATTTTATCTCCCGCTGCACCGATTGGTAAAGTAGTTGATTCATTTTGGAGAGTAGAGTATCAAGCTCGTGGTTCCCCTCACATTCATGCCTTGTTCTGGGTTCAAAATGCTCCACAGTTGGGTATCGATAAAGATGATGATGTCGTACAATTCGTAGATAAATACATTTCTTGCCAAAAACCGGATGAAAAGGAAGATCGAGAACTGCATGAAATAGTAAGCAAGGTCCAACAACACAGTAAAAAACATTCTAAATCTTGCACAAAAACAGGGAAGGCGTGTAGATTTAATTTCCCGAGACCACCATCTGGAAAAACATTCATTGTAACACCTGTTGAAGAGATTCCATCTAAAGATTGTGGGAAAGTGCAAAATAAGGGAAAGGACAATGATCAAGTTAAAGCTTCTGAAAAGACTAAAGATGATGCAGAGAAATTGTTGAAGTCAGTTAAAGATGCATTATCCAATGGAATCGAGTACAACAGTGTAAACCATCTCTTTGAAAAGCTTGACATTACACAAAATCAATTTGAGAATGCACATCATGAATTAGCATCACAACAAAGTATAATCATCAAAAGAGAAATACAAGATGTATGGGTAAATCAGTTTAATCCAAGTCTACTAAGAAGCTGGAATGCCAACATGGATTTGCAGTTCGTAACAAATGTATTTGCATGCGTGGCTTATATTGTATCCTACATGTCAAAAGCTGAACGAGAAATCGGAATGCTATTGAGTCATACACTATCAGAAATGAAAGAGGGAAATGAGAACGCAAAGGAAAGCATGAAAAAACTTGGCCAGGTGTACATGCAAAATCGTGAAGTGTCTGCTCAAGAAAGCGTCTATCGTGTTTGCAGTCTTAGATTGAAAGAATGTTCTAGGAAAGTGGAATTCATTCCTGTTGGACCCGACCCTGTCAGAATGAGTTTACCATTAAGCGTTATAAAAAGCAGACCAGATAACGATAATGATGATGATGAGAATGTTTGGATGCCTAGCAAGCTCGACAGATACAAAGCTCGACCTAGAAACACAGAATTCAGTGATATGTGTCTTGCAACGTTTTGTTCTCAGTACAGAATCTTAACTGCATCCCAAACGCCAAGTACAAGAAGTAAAAATGTCTTTAAATTAGATAACGATCTGGGGTATATTCAGAAGCGTACTCGTACGGGAGATGCAGTTGTAAGATATCCCCGATTCTCACCCATCATCTCACCCGAAAAATATTATTTGAGCATTTTGCAACTCTTTCTGCCATATTTTGAAGATGGACAATTAAAGCCGCCAACATTTGAAACACATGAAGAGTTCTACGAGACAGGTTCTGTGAAAATATGTGGACGTGAATTGGAGAAAGTCTGGACAATTGTCTGTACTAACCGAAAGAAGTTTGAAATGAATGCTGATGCAATTGATCATGCACAGGAGCATCTTGACAAATTTGGTCCACACGAAGATGCATGGGGTCTTTTATGTCCGGAAAAGGAAGTAGAGCGACTTGAACATCCCAAAGAAAATGTAGATGTCGAAGATTGTGATGGAGATCTTGATATCCCTGATTTAAAGAACGAACCGAAAAAAGATGACTATAGCATCGAACTACGTTCTGTAAAAATTTCTAAACAAGATGGACATTCTTTGATGAGGTCTTTGAATGAGAAGCAACAGATTGTTTTTTACAAAATACGACAGTGGTGTTTAGATAGAGTAAATGGAAAATCAGTCGAACCGTTTCATATTTTTCTAACTGGAGGTGCTGGCACCGGAAAGAGTCATTTGATCAAATGTCTTTACTATGAAGCAACACGTATACTAGCTCGAATGTTGCCACATCCTGATGATGTCTCAGTATTGAAAATGGCTCCAACCGGAGTAGCTGCATACAATATCAATGGCCATACTATACATAGTATTTTTTCTATTCCAATCACAGCACAAAAACTGTATCAACCGCTGAGTGATGAGAAAATAAGTGTCCTTCGAAATAAGCTGGCTGAATTGCAAATTTTAATCATAGATGAAGTATCAATGGTAGATCAAAAGTTGATGTCTTACATTCACGGCCGCCTACGACAAATAAAACAATCACGCGATCAAACTGCTTTTGCTGGTGTTTCAGTTATTGCTGTGGGAGACATGTATCAGTTACCTCCAGTCTTAGGAACTCCTTTATATAAAGACACACTCAATGGTGCATTGTGGAATGCTAATTTCAAGAAAGTAGAACTTGAAGACATTATGAGACAAAAAGACGATACCCAATTCGCTTTTCTCTTAAATAGATTACGTGTAAAACAAGGGGAAGAGATTCTCTGTGATGAAGACCTAGCAATGCTCAAGTCCTGTGAGACTGGCGAAGAATGTGAAAATGCTCTGCATATCTATGCATGTAACAATGAAGTAGATGCTTGGAACAAGAAATTATTGCATAAAAAATGTGGAGATGTGATATGCGTAAAAGCACAAGACATGGACAAAGATGTTAAAAAAGGAAATCAAATACGGGAAAAACCTTATACTAAGATGAAAACCCAATTGCCTCCTTATCTGTGGATTGCAGTTAATGCTAGAGTGATGTTGCTCAAAAACATTGATGTTAGTAAAGGCCTGACAAATGGATGTTTCGGAAATGTAACAGAAATAATAACGGATCATACAAATTTGAATCCAGTTTGCATCAAAGTTAATTTTGAGAAGGCCGATATTGGTATTCATTCAATCGAAATATCTCAAGAATCCATTGGTAAGAAATATGTGAGAAAACAATTTCCACTTAAGCTTGCTTATGCTTGCACAATTCATAAAGTACAAGGTTCGACATTAGACAAAGCTGTTGTATCATTAAAAAATGTATTTCAATCTGGACAGGCATATGTTGGGCTTAGTCGCGTTACTTCGTTATCTGGACTTGTGATAGAACATTTCGATCCTAAACGTATATATTGTAATCCAGAAATTAAAGAACGCATTGAGATTATGAAGCCGTTTATCGAGAATGAAACTTCTGAAGATATTCACGATTATAACTTTTCTTTGGTAATGCAAAATGTACAAGGATTAAAACAGCATTTTACTGATTTCAAATCCCAGTGCCAATTTGTGAATGTAGATTGTATTTGCTTGACCGAAACATGGATTAATGATGATGATCTCTGTGACGTTATTTTAGATAACTTTCGATTTTATCATCAGCCACGACATCTGTCATACTGTAATTCTGGAGTTGGAAATGTACTCAAAGAACAATCGCACGGAGGTGTTGCAATGTATATCAAGAATACATATTCAAGTAGATTAAACATATCTGTCGACAACTTAGAGTTTATCGCAATTCTTGTCACCAAACCAGTTTCTGTTGTGATTTCAGTTGTTTATCGACCTCCATCATATAGTATCAAATCATTCTGTGAATCATTAGACAATTTGCTAGATGCATTACACAAAAGAAGCATTAGGTGTGTTGTGATGGGAGATTTTAATGAGGATTTGTTTAAAGGTTCTTCACAGGTAAACAAGCTAATGTGTAATAAAGGTTACAAACAGCATGTTGTTAATGCTACTACTGAGAAGGGAACATTGATAGATCATGTGTACAGCAAGGGACTAGATTTATTGGAAACAGAGGTCATCCCTACATATTATAGTTACCATGAAGCTGTTAAGATTGCTTTTTAATATTAGTAGTAAAATGAGAAAAATAAACGAGTAAATTTCTTAATTTTGTTGATGAATAAACATTTTCATTTATCATGTCTTTATTCTTGCAAAAATGAATGTGAATATTATTCCTTCTTAAAAAGGTTGTCAATATTTTGTTGGCTTACCGTACACTTATCAATGATATCATCTGCCATGGACATCACATTGAAAGCAGGTAGTAAAGTTGGTAAAAACCCTTTTCTTAAGGTGATGAGTTGAAGGATTTATGTGTTGTCACTCCTTGCCTTTCAAACCTTTAAACATCACTCACGTCATGACATGTACATGTATTTTCGAACTTATAGATAATATTTTAGAAATCTAAAACAATGGTACACATTTAGAATACTGAGTTGATAGGTAGATGGATAACAAGATCATACATCCATTCTTTTTCTTTCCAGGTTAAGGATTGTCGACCTGATCCGTATATTGAAGTTGGAACATTCCATTAACCTTGCAAAGTGCTCATTTTTTTACTGGATTGGAGTAGGAGACAATTGGTACGTGGAAACCATCACTCTCAAAAAGATCGACACTCAAATCAGAGATCAAGCTTGAACGTGACAATGAGACATGCAAGTATTTAAGTAAAGAAGAGGTTGATATCATGGTTATGGAATATCAAAATGGGAAGGTAAATGATAATGAATGAATACTAATATCGGGACGCAATGCTGGAATGTTATTCGCTGAAAGATGATTTGTTTGGTAGTGATAATGAGTTTTAGTTGAGTAGTTTATTCACTATAATGTAAGTTGTTTGAGTTAATGAAAATTGGAGGGTTATACAGAGATGCCAACCAGTACGATTAAATCGTATTTAGTACGATAATAAGAGTGAAATACAATCTTAAAATCATACAATACGATTTTTCATATTTTGTTTCCAAAACAAAAAAACAACAGCGGAATCGCATAGAAACATGTACAAGTAAACCCCCGCATCCCCAACAAAAACTGCTTTACAATTTTCTCATTAAATTTTAATGAAAGAGCAAATATTTTTCTGAAATTTTACTGGCCCTCGGCAGTCCCAGAAGGGAGGGGGGGGGGGGGGGGCTGTCGATATTTGAAAATGCAAAGGTCAATTTGCATAAATTTTGAATATGCAAATTTCATCATTTTATTTTCTTTAATATGTGTTATATTGTTTTTTATTTCTTATTATATCTCGAGGGCTTAAAACCAGAACTGTCTATGTTCATTTTTTGTGAAATTGAGTTTCCACCAAAGTACTGTATATTCATTTCAGTTTGTGTCTATTCAGAACTGTCTATTCCCATGTATGTCCATTAGCCATTTTACTTTCATGTTCAGACTGTTTCAAGTACTTTCACGCATTCATCAAGAATTGCGCAATACTTGCAGTTTTCTACTAATTAAGCAGATAAGATTCCCTATGCAGCTATTTCACTGATTGTGGCCAAGCAACACCATATCATTACCCGGAAAAACCATGATGATAAATAAAAAAGACCAATGTGCAACATGTACGAAGTATGACCAGTTGTCGGGAGAACAGAAGAAGAATTTCAAGGAAGCCCATCTCGTACGAAAAACAGAGGCTCAAGATGCCAAAGCAGTCCCTTGCATCGTGTAAGACAGGAAATCGTTGTGAATAAGATGGAGCGCAATAGAGGACAAGCTTACAACAAGAAATATGCAGATGAATTTGACTTTATTGCATCATCAGGAAAGAGCAAACATGCAACTTGCTAGATATGTCGGCGAGATTTGTCAATTTTGCATGGCAGTTGTAATGACATTATTGTTCATTGCAAATCATAGCAACACATCACTGCTTTCCAGCTTGAATCGTCAGCACGAGAAATAACATCATGGATGTCAACCTCCAAGGATTTTAATATAACTAGAGCTGAGTGCTTATTTACATCATTTTATTTGGAGCACAATATTCCTCTATCAGCTGCAAGTCACATGGGACCATTGTTGAGGAAAGCCTTTCCTAATTCTGAGGAGGTTAAGAAGTTTTCCAGTGCAAGGACCAAACATCTTGTCGTGTGCGTGAAATGGCCAAAGATAAACAAGGACAGATCGTTTCAGCCATGAAAGCACGGCCATTTGCAATATCAACTGATGGGAGTAATGTCAGTGACAGTAAACTATACCCAATTGTCATCAACTACCATGATGGTAAGCAAATTTCTTGCACTCTGCTTTCCCTCCCAACCTTAGAAATGGCAGGAACTGGTGAAAATATTGCACATCATTGGGATCAGACAATACATCAGCCATGACTGGTGTACACAAGGGAATTGGGGCATGCCTCGGAATTTGTCAGCCAAACCTCATTGTGCTTAGTTGCCCCAATCAACTAATTGATCTTGCTGCCAAAGCTGCGTCATCTGCATTACCATATTCAATTGACTCGCTCCTTATTGATGTACTATCTGGAAGCCAGCGTGAACAGGAAATTGAATCTCAAGAAGTTCCAGATGCTCATTGGGAACGAAGTGCACGCAATTCTGAAACATGCTAGTACGAGATGGCTGCATGAGCTTGGGCCAATGCTTGCCAAGATTTATCCAGCAATAGCAAGCTCTAGTCCTTTTTCTTGAAGGAGAAGTGTCAGCCCAGCAGAAGACGCCTACTCAACAGACAAAGCAGAAGAAGCCTACTCAACAGACCAAGGCTACCAAGAATAGTGCCCAGACTTCACTTGTTCCAAAGAAGCCAGCTCCATGCAGCTGTGAAAAATTAACCTGCTCAAGGATCTCAACTGAAGGTAAGGCTAGAAAATGTATTACTACAAGGCATCTACTCCTTTTCATTCCATTTAAATATGTATGGCCATCATTAAAATTACCAGATTTGAATAGATTATCCCTAGCAGTAGAGAGCTTTCCTAATGTTTGAATTAATCAGCTTTTACTCCTCAAATTGGCAAAAGTTATTATCTTTTTACACTCTAAAATAGTTTGAACAAAATAAAAATGGATATTACATAAACCAGAATGGTAATTGCAAAATTTAATTTAATGTGTAATTAAATGTCTTGCTTATAAATAAGTCATTATCAATAGTGTTGCAGGCATCGCATGAAGTTTTTAAACTTGTCTTGTCCTGCAGAAAAAGGCTGCTCACCAAACCAAGATGACTGCACAACTCCAAGTATTCCGCATTTCCAAGAAGGTGTCTGCAGATCCACCACATGTGAGCAAGCCTGCCCAGTCTCAGACCCAAGTGAGTACAAAAGTTGATCATATATACAGTAACAGGGTGACAGTTAAATATGTACCTTTACATCATTAATTCTAATTCTTCTTATTTTACTTGTTAGCTCTTTCTCTTCCAATCATCTTCACTCCGCTGTTCAGTTTACAGATATAAACATTTATTCAATAATGCTAGTCATCCGCCAAGATTTCAAATGTAGTGTATATTTTAAATTGTAAACAGTGTCAGTAGTCTTGTTTCTTTCTCATATGGTAATTAATAATTTCTCTTCCTCCCAGGTTCAACTTCAAGCACCACAGCCACAACACAGTAGACCATCTTCGAGCTGTACTACTCGGGGAAAAAACGACAAGTGAGGGACACTTCAGATACACCTAGCAGAAGCAGAAGACTGGAAATGTTGTTGGCAAGGCAACAGGCTCAACAGTGCTCAAGGCTGGAACTTCCAGTCATCCCAGTACGATTCTAGTAAAATTACTGGAAATGAAAAAACAAGATGTGGAGGAAAAAAAGAAACAAGACAGACAGTAAAGGATGAAACAAGACAGAAAAGAATTCTGAAGTCATTGCACATTTTCTCAGCATCATTGCGTTTGACAAGAAAAGTGTCATCCTCCAGACGAGAATTCCTCCGATACACAAGCTGAAAGGAATACTAGAAAGTCTACTGCGTGTCTTGTACAGCCAATTTGTAGCTCCACAAGCAATCATTGCAGCTACAGACTTGACTCTTCTGGACTACAATAACAAGGAGAATCTTTTCGAAGAATCTGAAATGGTCATACTCATAGGAAGCGCAACAAGAGAGATTGTGAACACTTTAGATGAGTCCGATTGCCATATTAGTTCTATGCAGCAGTGCGTTCATATTACACCTAGGCATGTGACTACCTTGTAAGTAAGTTTGCATTCTGCTATCGAAACAGAAAAAAAGAACATCAATGTCTTCACAAGGGATGACTGGGTAAAACATCTTCCACAAAGCAAGACGTCGGCTTCCATACAAGGTCATAAACATGTGCCATGGAGACTTTAATGATCTGAAGAATCTCTCAAAGCAGATCATGAAGAACAAACGTTGAGACGAAGGTGGACACGTCTTCAACTGGCTACATGTAAAGAGCTTCCAATACAGAAAGGAAGAGCAAGGCATCATCTGCTACAAGTATAACTACTCGGATGAATACAAGAAGATAGATCATCAATTCCACTTAATCTCGACCTTGTCTACCAAGAGAAGCATTGAAAAAAAGCCTAAACCTTAAGAAGAAGGATCTCACCAAGTTGTGCAATAGCCTAGCCATTCCTGAAGAGTTCCATGGATGGTATTTGGCACTCCCATTTTGTAAGTTTCTGACATTGACAGGGTCAAAAGGTCATGGCCTCCATGTATGTTGTTTGACCAAGTATTATTCATAAGTTAATGGCATTGAACATAACTACTTCACATTGTCAGATTTTATGCTTGCAATCAAACTTTTAAATGTATTTTACTCAAAATGGCATATTTGGACATAGACAGTTGTGGTTTTAAGCCCTCGATCTATTGTTTTATTTCTAATGTATTTTTTTGTTCTGGAATACATCAATTTACTTTGGGAAACGTATCAAAGCAATTTGATATCAATTCATATCTTCCACTTATACATCTATTTACCTGTATTCACGATATATATGCAATTGTAGCACTTTACGCCCCCCCCCCCCCCAGTACAGTAAGGAGTAAATGACATTAGCCATATAATTATACATATGCATTTTTTAAGATGCTTACATATACATGTAAAGTGTTAAAGGGGAAGTCCACCCCGAAAATAAGTTGGTCTTCATAAAAGCAGAAAAATGAGAGAAACAAATCAATGAAATTTTGAGAAAAAATCAAAAAGAAAGTTATGAATTTTTTGGAGTTGTAATCAGTGAAGCACAAGTTGGAAACTGTGACATCACATGCGAGCTCATATCTCATGTGCTTTGTACAAAAAATGTTTTAAAAAAATTGATTTCTTCCGTCGTTGATTAATTGAATACGATTAGTAATAACATCTATCTGAAAGATAAACTAGGGTAATGCTTTTCACCTACTAACAGTAATACTGGTGAAGGTGATAGCAGCAGTAAAGGTAAAGGAGACACTGATAATATTTGATATTAGCGGTGACAATGGAAATGTTTGATTTATATGACTTTTTTTTTTTAT